TTTGAACTCTAACCTTAGATACCTTGCTGAATGTAGGCACATTGTTCCGTTCGTCTCTAAGCGTCCGTAACTCTTCTTGTAGCGCTGCCATCGTATTTTTGACACTTTTGAGCTCAGTTTCAGTGTCCTCACTACGCTTACGGATCTCTTTGATCTCAGCCTGAAGCTCCTGATTAACGCGTTGCAGGTGGTTGATGTCGCCCTGAGCCTGGACCTTTTCGCTATAGGCGTGGACAACATCTCCTAATTGCTCCAGATACCGCTTCCAACGACCACTAAACGGACCAGAGACATTCTTACTTTTGCCTCGCAGGATTTCTGTTTGATTAATCAGTGACAGGCCATACGAGGCAATTTCGCCATTATTCATAGCGACCAGTTCTTCAATGCTAATTCTAGCAGTGACGTCTGAGTCGCACGAAATATCCAGATCCGGATTGGTAGTCTTGCTTTTCTCCAATCCTGAACTGGAAACCAAAGTACTTTTTTTCTTATTTTGAGGTATTTTCTTTTTAGATCCGCTAGCTTTTTGGCTGATCGACAAATCCGATGCAGCCGCATTCGTGTCATCATCATCTGAGATGATAACAGGACTTGATTCAGGTAGCACACCTCTGTCATCAACAGCAGCAAGCCTTTTGCTACGCCTTTTTCTCCCGGTGTTTCTTGTTTTGCGCAGGATTCTTCTTTCATCCGGTGAGGAGGATCCGGCATCGTCCTGACTCGAATCAATAGTAGGCTCAACATCTTCTTCCTTTTCAGCAGCAGCATCCTGTTCGTCCTGTTCATCAGAGCTGACTATCATTCTATGCTTACGGCTCCTTCTGACCGAAGCAACAGCATCATTTTCAGGCGATTCGTCGGCTTTTCTTTTAGATGCATGATCGGATGGTAACACATCTTTGACAAATTCGACTGAAGGAGTATTAGATCCCACTCTGACAGTCTTAAAAGGATCATATACTGGATCAACATGCGATTGCTAATCACCTGGTGGGTCAGTATTTGCCACCACTACGTCCATCTGTTCATAACCTGCCTCGACCTCAGGTTCATTTAAGACCGCGGTAGCTATATTAACCTGCTCGCCCAACGGCAACGAGCAGGCCAGCCCCTCGTTCGATGACGACAAAGCAGAGCCGGGGACAACAACTCCACCATGCCGGTCGCTGGAGGCTCCGATCACCTCCTGCGACAGTAAGTTTAATTCGTGTTCCTGATTGTGTGTCATATTTGTATAATAATTTGGTTTTTCAGAGGGTGTCCTTCCCCCGTAATCGCAATCCATGGACTCGCCGAGTTGGTATACAGAAGATCCGTTCAGAGTGTTTTTAGCAATATCGTCAATCATCGAGCAAGAGATAGCGCGAAATTTTTCGCTAATCCTCTCAAGCTCGGCTTTCTTGTCGCTAATCGAGTGTCTCATGTTGATAAGGTTGTCCTCTGCCTTATCCAGTTCGACCATCCTTGTTAGATCCTCAAGCTGTGTTGTCATGGAATCAACCATAAGCTGATTAGGTGGTATTGTTTCATTTAAACTAGGCGAGGTATTATTTATCCTGCGTGAGCTAAGTTCGACTTCGTCTATATTCGGTAGGGAATTTATCCTTAAAATACTGTCAAAGCCGAGGTCCTTAATAAGCAGTTCATATTTACACACCTTACCTAATAGATACGAGCGGGCACAAAACATTTTGTAACCCTGATTATATATTATTTTGACGCATGCTTCAATATAGTTCAGATCTGCAAGAATTTCAGAGTAATCACATATCAAATTGTTATTGCGTAACTTAGCAATTGAGCCCATCGCACAGCCCAAAAGCATAGTGGGTGTGAGGCGGGCTTTATTTAGACGTGCCATCAGTTCTTCAATTGACTCCATGTTAGAATTGTATAATTGAATGTCAATATAAGGTGTTACACTTTAGGCAATAATATGTCAAAGTAATTAATTAAAAAATTTTTTGCAAGGCTCCACTAAAGCTATTATAGCATAGAGAACCCATGCAATAGTTATAACACATTGATTGTGTTATCTAACAAATAATTAGTTGCAATTAAAACGTGCCATACAGCAGCAATCAACCAGACCTCAAAATTATTTGAAGAGGAGATGCCGCAAAATTATGCAGACACGCCCAAAGGTTTTGAACAATTGCGCACGGCGATCGAGAAGTGTGATTTGTCAGTATGTTAACTATATACTGTATCGACATACCATTCCATGTATCATAGTCCAAGTGTAACAATATAATAGTCAGTTTTGGATCAATACATTATATTTAATTATCACTTCCATTTGTATGATTTAATAAGTATGTCCAGTAGTTTAGGTTATTAACATTTATCACTTTAACCGCGAAAAGGTCAAGATTATCAATTTACCAGATTTCACCCTAGGTCTAGTAACTTGGGATATCAGGTAATATATATTGAGTAGTATGTCTATATTATATTTACATATGTTAGTTATCAGCAATATTTATAGTGCTGATTTTATTTTGACAATCATTTATCACTCTTGTGAAGATTATACACAATATACGATTATTTAGATAAAATTGATCCAATTATTTGAGAAAACAATGTTTTGTATACAAAATTACTTTAAAATAAGGAATAAACTAAAGATTGTCCAATTCACCAAATTTCCCCCAGATCTAGTAACCTGGGCTGAAACGCACAAGACACATCAAGTTGCATATCTATGCCGCAGTTCGTGTTTATTCGGTAACTTGGCAACACTCCATGTATCATAATTAGAGTTTAACAATGTAATAGTCAGTTTTGGATCAATGCACTAGGTTTAATTATCACTTCATTTATATAATTTAGTAAATTCATCCAATAGTTCAAGTTATTAACATTTATCATCCCATTGTGTATTAAAGCACAAAAGAAGTTAAGAATATTCAGTTTACCAATTTTTACTAAATCTGGTAACCTGGGGTTTCAGACAACATATATTAAGTCAAACATCTTTGTTATGTTCACATATGCTAGTATCAGCAATAATTTATAGTGCTGATTTCTATTTAACAATCATTTATCACTTTTTGTAAAAATATGTATAATATATAATTATTTTGGTAAAATTAGTCCAATTGTGCAAGAAAACAGTGTTTTTGTATGTAAAATTACTTTAAAAATAAGGAAAACCGAAAATTGTCCAATTCACCAAGTTTCCCCTAAATCTAGTAACTTGGGTCAAAATGTGAAAGATACATCGAGTTTCGCATCTATGTTGCAGTTCGTGATTGTTCGACAACTTTGGCTACGGAGTTCACTCGTATACCAACAGATGGCGCGTCGATGTCCGTTTTGTAGTAACTTTTTTACAAATTATAACTTTTTGAAGAGCTTTTATTAATTAATGTAAGTACAATAAAATGTGTAATCAATAATAAATGAAGTCTTTCTTTTTTCAACAAATGGTCTGTAACATAGCAACGAAATGGTGTGAAAACGTATAAGGTGTAAGTGTATATGTGGTGTAAGTGTGGATCTAAAAATGCTACAGTAAAGTCACAGTAACGCCACAGTACTCCCCCCCAAGCGACGACTACGTTGCGAAATGGACTTTCTTCTTAGGGTAAGTTCGTAATGATTTTCCGAATGAAGCAGTAGAAGAAGTACTAGGGTAATCTGGTGAAATAGTAGATGCAGGTATGACTGATGTGGTTGTAGGAACTGCAGGCACAACTGATGGTACAACTGATGTGGTTGTAGATGTAGATGAAGTTCTCGAAGAGGATGAAAGAAGAACAGAAGAATCTTCCTTGGGAAAAAAGGCTGGTTTCAGACGTTCCGTTGAGACGTTGACCAATTTTCCTGAAATGTCAATAGTAAACAAGAAATCAGAAATTCGTTTGTTAACAAAAAAAGGACCAGAATATGGTGATTGAAGAGATTTCTTCACAGCATCTTCACGAAGCCATACGTGAGTACAATCGTAAAGATTTTTGTGTACAAAAGGTGATTTTTTGGTGTGATGATGGGTAGGAGAAGATTTAATATTCCTCATATGTATTCTATGTTTCTCTAAAAATATTTCAGGATCTGCTGGAAAATCTTCCTCAATAAAGAATTCACCAGGAATCCGAAGAGTAGTTCCATAGAGTAATTCAGCAGGTGAAGTTTTCAAGTCTTCTTTGAAGCACGAACGAAGACCAAGAAGAACAGTAGGTAAAGATTCCAACCAATTCTTCGTCTGATGACACATAATTGCAGTCTTGACAGTCCTATGCCATCTTTCCAAAATTCCGTTTGTAGCTGGATGATAAGCAGAAGTTTTCTTGCGATCACATCCAATCAAATTAGTTAATGCTTTAAAGAGAGATGCTTCAAATTGTGGGCCTTGATCTGTAGTAATAGTTATAGGAGATCCATATCTAGCTACCCAATGAGAATAGAAAGCTGTCGAAACTGTTTCAGCAGTTATTTCTTTAAGTGGAATAGCTTCAGGCCACTTCGAGAAACGATCTATTATTGTTAAGCAATAACGGAAATCTTGACAAGAAGGAAGAGGGCCTATTAAATCTAAATGTACATGTTGAAAACGCTGATCAGGAACCGCAATTTTAACAGGGACATTTTTTGTATGTCTTGAAATTTTGGAACGTTGGCAAGGTAGACAAGTGCGAGTCCACTCTTTAACGTCTTTATTCAATGACGGCCAAATAAATTTCTGTAGAAGTTGTTTAGCTGTAGATCTTCCACTGGGATGTGCGAGGCCATGTACTACATCAAAAACTCTCTTACGAAGAGATTTAGGAACGTATGGACGAATTAACTCAGAGGAACAGTCACAATATATAGGTACAGATGAGCCAGTAAGCATAAGTTTTCTTAGTTGGAGTGAAGAGTTCAAAGAAAGGAGATCTTGAAGTTCTTCATCATCTTTTTGAAATTCTGCTAATTCTTCCAGAGAGACAATGATTGGCATTGAAACTGACTCAATTCTTGATAAAGCATCAGCTACAGAATTTAATTTGCCTGAAATGTGGACAATATTAGTAGAGAATTGAGCAATAAGATCCAGTTGCCTAATTTGTCTAGGTGAAGCTTTGTCAGGTTTCTGAAGAAAAGCATAAATTAAAGGTTTGTGATCTGTCCTAATAATGAGTTGTCGTCCCTCAAGCAAATATCTGAAATATTTAATTGCTAAATAAATGCTTAAAAGTTCTCTATCATAAGTACTGTAGTTCTTTTGAGTTTTATCAAGCTTTTTAGAAAAGAATGCAATTGGTTTATTGACATTTTCAATTGTTTGTTCAAGTGATGCTCCTACAGCGAAATCAGAAGCATCACAAGTAAGAATCAAAGGAACTTGAGGAGCAGGATGAGAGAGGGTAGTCACACGGAGAAGTTCTTCTTTGCAATTCTGAAAAGCTGCTTCTGTCTCCATAGACCAAGGAATAGTTCTCCTATCTCTCTTGCGACTGTCCTTCAAAAAGTTTGTAAGTAATGCTTGATGTTCAGCTGCGTTTTTAAGGCAACGACGATAATAATTAATAATGCCGATAAATCTTCTTAAATCATGTATTGTCTTAGGTTTGGGATAGTCAATAATTGATTTGACTTTTTGTTCTGTAGGTTTGATTCCTTGACTAGAGACAAGATATCCGAGAAAAGTAATTTCTTTTTGACCAAAAAGACATTTGGATACATTAAGTGACAATCCAGCTTTCTGTAGACGATCAAAAACAATCCGCAAATGAGTGATGTGTTCTGACTCATCTCTAGAAGCTATGAGAATATCGTCAAGATAGCAAAATGCAAAATCTAAATCATTTAACAATATATTCATAAACCTCTGAAATGTTTGAGCTGCGTTACGAAGACCAAAAGGCATAACCAAAAATTCGAAAAGTCCAAAAGGTGTAGTTACAGCGGTCTTAGGAATATCTTCCTTTGCAACGGGTACTTGATAGTACGCTTTAACAAGATCAATTTTAGAAAAAATATTCTTACCGTAGAGCTCCGCAGTGAAATCTTGTATGTGAGGCAATGGATATCGATCAGGAACAGTGACCGAATTTAACGCACGATAATCTCCACAAAGTCTCCATACATTTTCCTTTTTTGGAACCATATGCAAAGGTGCTGCCCACGTACTGCATGATGGTCTACAAATACCTTGGTCCATCATGAATTTAAATTCTTCTTTGGCATACTTCAGTTTCTCCGGAGAAAGTCTTCTGGGAATTGCAAATTTCGGAGGACCTTCCGTAACAATCCGATGTTCAATTCCATGTGAGTTTACCGATGAAAGAGGGGCAAAATGAGTAAGTCCTTGAAATTCTGCTAAAATCTTGTGAAAAGAAGAATCTGGAGATGTGGTACAAACTGATAACTGCAAAACTTCTTGTATCCTTCCACAATTTTTAAGACCTGTTAAGGAATCAATTAGACGTTTGTTTTTAACATCTACAGGGAGATTAAAATGTCCGAGGAAATCTGCGCCTAAAATGGGACGTTGTATGTCCGCCACGCAAAATTTCCAACGGAAAATTCTCCTGAGACCAAGATCCACGGAAAGAGTTTTAGATCCATAAGTATCAATGTGTGTTCCGTTGGCAGCAAAAAGTTTTAAATTGGTTGATAACGGTTTGTATAATATTTTCTTGGGAAGCAAAGAAATGTCAGCACCAGTGTCAACAAGAAATTGTAAATTAGACGACTTGTCAAAAATAACGAGGCGATGACAAGGTAAACCGTTGTGAGTTGCCTCTTTCTTCAACGGTATCTCTAGTTTTCCGTTGAATCAGTAAGACAGAGAGTTTTTGACATTGTACAAGGAATTGTACATTTCTTTGCTTTATCTCCAAATTTCTTGTGATAAAAACAAATTTGTTCCTTAGAATCCGACTTTTTATCTCTTGAATTAGATCTTAATCTTGTTTTACTTCGAGATCGACTAAAAGATCTACCGCGACGACGAAAAACTTCCAGCGCAGCAATTCTTTTCTCTAAATCAGCAAGATCCGATTGTTTTGATTTTAAAGAAGTGTTTACTTCGGTTATTTGATATCCGGTATTACGTTCGACTATTTTATCCGCGAGTTCAGCTAGCTTGATTAAAGGTACGTCCTCAACAACAGCTAATGTCGCTTGAACTTTGTATGGCAAACGTTGAAGCCAAAGTGAATGTAATATATTATCCGCTAAAGATCCACCGGATAATTGGCGTATCTCATGTAACAACTCCGTTGGTTTTTTGTCATTCAATTTAATTCCGGCTAATAATTGACGTAACCGTTTTTCTTCTGAATCCGTGAAGCGGTTAATGAGCGCCGATTTTAAAGCGTTATATTTATCGTTTTCGGGCGGATTTTCAACAATTTCCGAAACGACAATTAATGCCTTTTCATCAAGATGACGAATAACGGTATTATATTTTATTTCCTCGGAACGTATACGAAATACCAAAAATTCGCTTTCGACTTGAGCAAACCACAATTTAGGTTGCTTATGCCAGAATGTAGGAAGTTTTACAAGACGAAATTTATTAGAATGGATCTGAATGGACTCACCAGACTGCTGTTGCATATTTCCAGAGGGTGAATTTAAAATTTCCGATCCCACCTGATTTAAAATGTTCTCTGTCGAAGATGTCAAAGCAGTTGAAGTAGACGGAACAGTAGAGTAAGTTGTCTCAGATCTAGGAGGAGATCTATCTAAAGGCATCTCGGTTGTTATTCCAACGACGATAAGAAACGATCCGGAAATCAAAGTACGAAGATTCTTGACAACGTATAGAAATCTTTCCAAAATTCAAAAATTGAATTTCCCGCTCAAGAGGATATTCCTGTGTTGATCACTTATCACGTCGGGGTCACCAAAATGTAGTAACTTTTTTACAAATTATAACTTTTTGAAGAGCTTTTATTAATTAATGTAAGTACAATAAAATGTGTAATCAATAATAAATAAAGTCTTTCTTTTTTCAACAAATGGTCTGTAACATAGCAACGAAATGGTGTAAAAACGTATAAGGTGTAAGTGTATATGTGGTGTAAGTGTATATGTGGTGTAAGTGTGGATCTAAAAATGCTACAGTAAAGTCACAGTAACGCCACAGTTTGCCACTTTATTAATCCCCAGATAACAAAATACTTCCACGGTACCGGTACGGAGAGCGTACGTCGTATTTTATGTATCAGTACGGTACCTACCACGTACGTGCGTACCGTAGGAGTACATTACCAATACACCGTATTAGTACGCGGTACGGCTACTGTAGCGCCACTGTATCACCACTGTATATTGAAATAAAATTTTATCATACGCTGTACTCTTATAATACTAGTATGGTATCAGTACGATACCAATACAACATCAGTACAGTTCCAGTACAAAAAAGGATTTTCGTACACGCTTCCTTCTCTTCTTCCCCTTTTCTTTTTATTATTATTTTATAATTAAAAAAACAGTAAAATCAATTTTATAATTAAAAAACAATTATTTATTTATCTCATATAAAAAATACATATAATTTTTTAAAAAGTTATAAATATATATATGCGTATTTTATATGTTACAATGATGTAATAATGTATATGTATAAAAAAAAATTATATATATAATATATGTACAATACATGTTTAATAACTAATATATCAATTATAAACTGTTTTGTATATTTTCTCCTTTGGTTTTTATCGGAGCTATCGCCTAGTTCTCTCTTGTGGACTGCGTCGATAGGCAAGGATAGATAGCAGGAACTAGTCTCTTTATTCTAAGTAAGAATACGTAATTTTTATTCTTCGGATCACAAATGTTCTTCTCGGGTTTACCGGACGGCTCGTCGTACCAGACTCGCCCTCCGTGCCGCATCGCTCCTTTTTAAAGACGCGGAAACTCTCTCCTAATTCGGCGCTTCGCCCTTGTGGACGCAATAACAAACTGTCGATGTACACAATTACAGAGAGCTCTCAGTAGCGTATATCGAAGGCGCGCGGGGATCACGGAAATTTAATTTTTTCCCAAACATAAACGCAAAGTACATTTATTTTAATTAAATTATAAATTAAACTATTACCGCTGAAACTACTTGTAACAAGAAAATCCTACACTGGAAAAAAAATTTTGTTGGATTAACAAAAATTCTGTTCGAAAATGGACGAAACGGAATTACTGGTTGAATCTACCAGAATTCCTTTTAATGCAACAAGCATCTACCAGAATTCCTTTTAATGCAACAAGCATCTACCAGAATTCCTTTTAATGCAACAAGCATCTTGTTTGTACAACAAATCAGTTTATTGGTGCAAATAAGATATTTGTTGTATTAAAAGGAATTCTGGTAGATTCAACCAGAATTCCGTTTCGTCCATTTTTGAACAGAATTTTTGTTAATCTAACAAAATTTTTTTTTCAGTGTACTCGATCTTATTTAAGTCCTATTATTATAAAAAAACCATAAAAATAACAAAACGCTCGTGTATAATTTAAAATTAATAAACCTGAAAAATAGGCCAGATAACGAGCAAAAAATTTTTTTAGATGTAGAAATAATTGAACTTCATCATACTTTTATAATACAAATAAATAAGTTTCAATTATTTCTACATCTAAAAAAATTTTTTGCTCGTTATCTGGCCTATTTTTCAGGTTTATTAATTTTTCCTATTATTATTTTGTTTTTGGGGAAAAGGCCCCATCCCCGCCTTTTCCTGTGAGGCACAACCAAAAAATTTGCCCCTCCATATCTTAAGCCTTGTGTCCACGATCCGAGAATTTGGTCCGAGTTTTCGGACCGAGAAGTTTGTAACCAATCAATTTGCAGCTTTTACAGAAAAGCGGCTATTTTATTGGCTACAAACTTCTCGGACCGAATTCTCGGATCGTGAACACAAGGCTTTACCTGAAACAGAAAACAAATAAATTAGAGGTGAGAACGGCCCCTCCCCGCCGATCCCTGTGAAGCACGTGCCAAATTTGATACTGCTTCTCCAAAGTACTTAAAAAAATATTATGTTGACCATACATTACTTTCTGTTAAGTACTTCAGTACTTCCATATCGTCTACGCGTTCTGTGTCCTCTTGGATCTTATCGTCGTCCACGTAATTTTCCATTTCAGCATCTTCATGGATTTCTTCAGCGATGTTATCCTCATCCCTGGTGAAAAATAAAAATTGTCAGAATTCTCATAAAGATTGCGTAAAATCAGAATATCTGAAAATATCGGAAATATTTTCACAATAAGCAACGTTCTGCTCTGTCTTTGAATGTATTTCATTTATTATTTATAGCGATACAAAAAAATCCAAAAGCGTCATTTTATCTTTAATTTCCATTGAATAATGATGTATTAACGTAAATCGCATTATTTGATTCTATTTTTTTATCTATATAGCAAAAAATAAAGATATAATATAATATTAACATTAATTTATATCTCTATATAAATATTATGAAATGCATTCAAAGATAGGACAAAATATAACCCCCATAGCAAAAACACCAGTAATATCATAGTGATATGTTCTAGATGTCATTAACGATATGCGAATGTCCGCTTTATCACAATAAGTGTAATGTCACAATGATATCATTGTGACACAAGCGGACATTCGCATATCGTTAATGACATCTAGAACATATCACTATGATATCACTGGTGTTTTTGCTATGGGGGTTATATTTTGTCCTATCTTTGAATGCATTTCATAATATTTATATAGAGATATAAATTAATGTTAATATTATATTATATCTTTATTTTTTGCTATATAGATATAAAAATAGAATGAAATAATGCGATTTACGTTAATACATCATTATTCAATGGAAATTAAAGATAAAATGACGCTTTTGGATTTTTTTGTATCGCTATAAATAATAAATGAAATACATTCAAAGACAGAGCAGAACGTTGCTTATTGTGAAAATATTTCCGATATTTTCAGATATCATTGTGACATTACACTTGTAACACAAGCGGACATTCGCATATCGTTAATGACATCCAGAATATATCACTATGATATCACTGGTGTTTTTGC